GGAAAGATGGAATTGTTTAGGAATTTGACTATATGGTAATGAAAGTGAAACTACTGTAGTGGGATCCAACTGGGTTGTTGTTGTTGGTAATGAAAGTGAAACAAAGAATACGATCGTCTCTTATTGAAGCAAATTTATATCCAGTAGGTGCATTTGGTGAGAAATGAATGCCCATATCAAAAGCAGCATTGAGCTTGACACAAAATGATAAATATCTAGTTACAACCATTAGTTTCATTTTCTTTTATAAATAAAGAAACTCGTGTTAGTCTCCGGAATAGGGAAAATTTGCCCAAAACTATGCATCGAGACATAGACAAAGTATGAAACACAATTACACCATAAAAAGGATGGAGATAAAAAAACATTCGGATGATGGAGAAGGGCTAATATCCTGTAATATTACAATATCTTGTCACACTTATGAGTGATAAGCATTCACAGCCAAAAATTATTTCTCTTAATTTTAATAAATCAATCAGTAAATTCAGGGGAACAATGACAGAAAAAAATAATAAAGGCTGCTCGAAATATTTACATGACTTAAAGTTTGGCTTATTAAAATTTTGAGCAAGTGCAAAATATATAGTCAAAATTAGATACTTAAGTGAAAACTCTAATGGACAAATATGTGGGAATGAGCATGAAAACCAAGGGGAAAAACAGAGGTTGAAATGTAAATTGTTAAGAAAACGTCAATGGCTCAATGCATTGCATCCTCCTACCTAATATACTGCGAACTTTTTCAAGAGCCTCTTCAGAAACAGGTCCATTCGTCGAAAGGGATGCCTTGCAGGAGTTATAGAGCTTCTGCACAGCGGGCATTTTTCGCAACCCGGAACTGTAGTCCACACAAGGCCACAGTAAACGCAACGCTTACAGTATATTTCAAAATCCTGACCCGAAGGGCCCTCTGATTGATAGAAGACCCTTCAAAAACACGGATGGGAATGTGGACTGGACTCTGCGTCGTCCACCAAGACTACATCCAAGTGATGATTATCTAATCCACTTTCCCATTCTATCTTCAACAGCACACACTGAAAACAAATGAAACTTCATAGTCAGCATTTAAAGCAAGCAACGAAAGCATCACATTCCGATTGAAACTCTACTTCAGTCTCTCCTTCCCAGCTTCAAATGCTCAAACTTAAGTCTCCTAATATGATCCACAAAACAGACCAGCTAATTTCCAGGTTCAAATCTCCATACAAATCCAAAACTTATTGGATTCAGCTATCTAACACATTCAAATTCCCAACAAACTCAAGTAAAAGCTTAATTTAAAAAAAACAAAACGAAATTGAAAATTCTGCAACACAAAAACCAGACATCGAGAAAATGATTGCCGCGGAATACGCAGATTCTGAAGTGAATACACGCATGTAGTAGAGCGATTACCGAAACAGAAGATGAAGATGAAGGATTCAGAGGAACGTGCCTGGTGCAAGCGACCGAATACGGAGAGAGATCCCAGAGGGGAAGAGGGGGGCGACGATTGATTGCCCCCTTTTTTTTCGTGCGGAAGCTTTTCCTTTTGGAGGTTTTCGGGTCTGGTCACGGGTCGGAGCTTTATGCGTTTGTGTGGGGTTAGAAATGTCAGGTTATGTACCAAAGAAGCAAAGACACCCATAATGAAGGAGGGGGGAAGAGGACATCAATGAAATGACCCTTTATTTAAAGAGTACCATACCCTAATATGCCCATGTGTTCCAAAAACCGTGGTGCACTTCACACTTCACACTCATGGCTATTTCCCTCCTTCCAAGAAAATTACTCCCTTCCTCCTGTTTCCTCCGTCACTGAGTATTTGTCCACTTTTAATTTTTTTCAATTAAAATTGGTAAACTTTGACCTCAAATTAAATAAAAATAACATTAGATATTGTTAGAAAAAGAGTTTTATTAGATTTATTATATCAAATATTTTCAAAATATTATTTTATTTAATTAAAATACAATGTATATTTTATTTAATTATAAGTCAAAAGTTGAAAACAATTGACTGAAAAAAGTCAAAATTGGACAAATATTCAGGGATGGAGATAGTATTAAAATTTTTTAATATTTATATTTTGAAAGAATTTGTGGTTAACATATGTTTAGAGAATACTTTTTTAGCCAAATCTATAAAGATCGGGGAGGTGCTGAAATAGTTTAAGGAGTAATATACCCAACAAAGAATTGAACTATTGTTGAGATGGAAAATCAAATGCTAGCTCTTCCTAGCTCTTCAAGCCACCGAGGGCCACCCTTATTTATTTTATGGGTTTAGTTTCGGATTTTAAGCAATTGATGATGTAGTTTAAACCTCTCTCTTGTCTATGGTTAAAAATCAGCAAATTAAGTTACATATTTATTGGCTCAACGACATATGATCATGTGTTTGATTAATTTTGGGAGTTGGTGTATATTTGTGATCTTTTGAACTTTCATATGCCAATTCTAGTTTTTTTAAATAACTATAACTCATGATCTATTGCATCAATGACCATCATAACTATATACAGAGTATTATTAATCGTTACTATCTTTCCCATGACATTATTGTACTTCGTTGTGGCCACAATTACTCTTTGTCTTCCTAGGCCATTACTGTTACTGTCTATCGTATGTCACCGTGTCTACTCCTTTTTGCCATCATAATGTTACTATCTACCAATAATTGACAATGTTATCCATCATTATTATATACCTTGTATATTCATTGTGGGGCGTTATTGTTTACCGATCATTATGTTCATTTTCATTGTTGGTTGTTATTGTCCATCTTTATTGTTGGTCATCACTTTATTTCATTAATATCATCACCATTTTTACCGCTATCAAATCAAGACCGTGGAAGAATTGAGAATCTAAAAAGACTGAAAGAACTAAACATTAATTTTGATGGATTATAGATAGATGATACACTTAACAAAGAAGTGAGATATAAAATTAAAAGTCAAAGTTATCAATGTGTGCCACACTGCAAAGAAAATAAAGCGACTTGATAGTGCCATAGAGCGATGACCTGCCCTTGGAATGAGAACCACATTGGACCCCATTGGTAGTCCCTTTGGCAACACTTATGTCTTATGTGAGAAGAATAGTAGTGTCAATGTCCCCTATACTAGGGTCCAACTCAATAGTTGGCTATAGGTAGACAAAACAGAATTGAAGAAACTAATATATAAACACTACAAGTGACACCATAGAACTCGTGAGGTCAATAAATTTTGACATTATTAATGAATATAATTCTTAGGTATGAAAAATAATCTTGGACTTCGTAGTCATGAACATTCAATGTGTCCAGAATGCTATTCTAGAATACCTTGAGTCAGAAGATCTTGGCGATGTCCTGTTTTTGGAACACTTAAGTTTCGATCCAAAAAGATGCATAAAGTATCGCAGGCGAGCCGGTCTCTCAAAAGGCCCGCTATGAATGGAATTAGTGAGGAGATGATAAATGAAAGTTAAAAGAAAAGGGACACGGTAGTCACTTTTTGCATCTTTCAAAAGAAAATACATAAAAAAAATTATGAAGTGTGGAAAATATTTTTTATGTCCAAATTTTTATGTTGAATTTATTTAGAAGAGAGTCGATAAATAAAAAATGCATAATTAAAAATGATGAACTCTAGAAAATGGAGTTCATATACCATATATGCACATATACAGTACATCCGCATAAATACTCATTTTGGAGAAATAAATATTTATTTCAAATGTTTTTTATTTTATTCCCTATGTCCATACCTTTTTCTCATTTGAATTTTTACAATCTCCAATTCAACACTTGACCATTAATATATTTACTTATATATAAATATAAATAAATAAATAATAAATATATAGATATAATAAAATATACTCCGTAATGTTTTAAAATCATTTTTCACAAAGAATTTATTAATGTTAGATTTATATGATAACTCAATATATTTCATTCATAATTTGCGAGCAAAATTTAAAAAGTTTAACCAAAAAGTGAAACAGGGAAAAATTATAGACATAAATTTATTTATTCAAAATACGTAAATTACCAAATTTGGAGTATAAAGTGCTAAATTTGAAAACTTCTGTATATATTTAGAGTGTACTCCCTTTCGTCTCGCAGTATTTGTTCACTTTTGATTATTTTGGTCAAAATTGGCAAATTTTGTTCTCAAATTAAATAAAAATGATGTTAGATATTGATAATAAAATAATTTTATTTGATTTATTATATTAAAATATTCTCAAAATATTATTTTAGTTAATTAAATGTCAAAAATTGAAAATGATTGATTGGAAAAATTTAAAACTGGACTAATACTCTAGAATGGAGACAATATATTTAGAACACTTGGGACTTAATTGGACACTTATGATCTTTCATTTGCAATATTAATAGTTTATACACTCCCTAGCTCCCTTGCAACTTATTCCTCATTCAGGTCAATTTACAGAATATAAGTTTAATTAATTTTAAAGTCAAAATTTTTTTACTAAAAAATTAAGAGGGTGACCACATGAATGCATGAATGGTTTCACGTCCGATCTGGATCAGAGCATTTATCAACAATGGCAAGACGAAAATGGAATGCCACACGATGACATGGAACATTTTAACCAATCAAAAATAGTCCAGTCAGCGTGTGGCAAGTAAATGGAGTGGCAAGTCCTACAATGACAAGTCAATATTTTTTATCACTTTTTTTATATTTTTTTATGTTTTTTAAACATAAAAAAATATTTTTATTATTTATTTTATTAAAAAATTATTCTACTTTCTTGTACATTTTTTTTCATAAAAAAATTTAAAAAAATATTTTTTTTAAAAAAGAAAAAAAGTAGTATGAAGTGCCACACTTATGCCTCACCAAGCAAGACATTTTGGTCTTGTCATGCCATGATATGAGTGGAAGATGGTGATGTGGGAGTGCAATGCATCCCTATTGCCATTGCACATGCTCTGAGTTAACTATCCGGTCCTCCGTGACGTGTAGAACCGGACTGTATTTAGAATTAACAAAAGGCCCAACAAATTTGAAGTGGAGGCGACGGACCCTGTAACTTTCCGATCTGATTCGGACTCTCTTCGTTCGGAGATGGTTGACGTGATCAAGTGTTGCTTCGACTCCATCGCACAAGTACAATTTCTTCATAAATCTCTCCTCAATTTACTTCGATTTTTGATTCAGCATTCTATGTTGCTTTCCCGTTTGCATCGTGTTCGTGTCAATTTCGGTTTTTTGAAGCTCCGGATTCACGATTTAATTGTTCCAACTTTAATTTCTCGGAAACTGTTCAGATATCAGATGACATAAAAGGGGCTATAATATACCTGGATGCTGGGTCTACAGAGAGCTTTCAATTGCTGGGAGCATTTTCTTTGTTATATGAGCTTGGAGCTTATGCCATCTGCAGCCTGGAGAAGACTTCACCTCTTGATAAGGTTGGTGCGATTACATATGCATATCTATCTATGATTATTATCTTCTGATGATTGATGGACAAGGGCAACTGCTTTACACAATGTTTGCATCTTTCATCACCTTACTTATGTAATCAGCTAAATATTGTGATCACATGAATGGTTTATGACTGGATATCATCATTTGATTTATAATGTTTTTGTATAAAAACAATACTCGTATGAAATGTAAATGTGTGACTGTGTGGAATGCTTTCATAACATTCCTGAAATGCAATAGAATGTCCGATCTTGACCACATGATTACATGAGATGTTTTCTTAACATACACGAAATGCAAGAGTGGATTTCTTTTATGTGTGATTGAAAGTTCACTTCTGCTTTTTATATGTATCACAATTCACAAGCCAGTATTTCAATTTCTCTTGCCCTCATTCCCATGCTTTCTATCAAGGTGGCTGATTGGAGTTCAGATGCGGGGTCTGACAAGAAGATTGTCGTTATCACATCACGCCTTCTATCTGATGCCCATAGATACATTTTACGTTGTCTCAGCACACTTCAAAATGTGGATCGGTGTGCCATATTTACATCCATTTCAGAGGTTCTCTTTTTTTCTTCATAACTGATGAATGATGCATCCTATTCCACTTTTGCTATGTGTCAGTCGCACAGTGCTATGGTTGAGCAAATCCGTGCCCATTTATTGACTTATCATCCCATCTTCGAATATTTTATTAAATGCAGACCGCTCATTCAGCATATCCTGATTCACCTCTTGGTCCAGATGCCTTCCGTGAATATGAATCTTTGCTTGTTCTAGACTATGAAGAGCAGCTCTTGAGAAGATCTCAGACAAAATGTGAACTTTCTGGGGAAAGTCTACCAAATCAAAATTTAGGTCCTACAGATGAAGGGTCATCACCACTTGCTTCCACTGCAGAACACATGTCTCAGTTTGATGGCATTTCAAGTGTAAAGGATCCAGAGGACACTGTTATTGGCAAATCAACGGTTCCAGGAAGGAAGTTGGATGTTTCTGTGCGCCACTTCCCTTTGGTCTTGTGTCCTTTTTCACCTAAATTCTTTGTCTTACCTTCTGAAGGATCTGTTGCCGAAGCATACCTGTCGACTGAACAAGAGAATTCGATAAGCCGTGGGTTGCCTCCAATAAGCACCGGAATACCTCTTGATAGTGATGACGTCCCTCCTGGAGCAGCTCTTACAGCTCAATTTCTTTATCACTTGGCAGCAAAGGTATTCACTTGCTTTAGCTCCACCGTATAGGTTCATTGGGTTCTCATGGCATGACTTAGCTGTCAGGGATTCAATGGTTCGAATAAAAGATCGATATCATCTTGACTAAAATTTAATATAAAAGCTTGAAGATGCTAAACACCTATTAAAACAGCCTAGCTCTTCCAAAAGAATCTTCAAGAGGTGAAGGTTATCTGACACTTGTAAACTAGGCTCAAACCCAATAAACAACTAACGTGGGATCCCCTCCATCCCCCCCAAACCCCAAGCATCCAAGACTTGACAACCAAAGGGATGGACAGTTAGGCTCAGACCGACTGCTCTAAACCATGAAGTGGGTGTGTGCGCCCCAGAAACCACAATTCAACCAGGGGTTGACATTATGTTAAACTACATCCAGCTCCCATCAAAAGGACCTTTTAGAGGTTAGCTTTACCTCACGCTTATAGACTCTAAACCCAGCAGAAGAGGTTGTTGGATACACAACAGTCTAGCAATTAACTGAAGGGCCTGCTATCGTACTTGTATCAAGTTTATGCAAACAAAACTTTTTTTATCTGCATATGTGCTACTCTATTTGTGTTTGAAACTGTGAATGCTAATTACTATCTATAACTTACAGATGGATTTGAAATTGGAGATATTTTCTCTTGGCGATTTCTCGAAAACTGTTGGTAACCTTCTTACAGACATGTCAAGCCTTTATGATGTTGGTCGCCGTAAAAGATCAGCAGGGTTGTTAGTTATTGACCGTACACTTGATCTTCTTACCCCTTGCTGTCATGGGGATTCACTTGTGGATCAAATATTTTCATCTCTCCCTCGTAGGGAACGAACATTGGCATCATTAGGCTCACAAAACCAACTGAAATTTGGCCCTACTTATTTACAGAGAGCTCCCTTAAGTGCTGTGATACCACTTGAAAACTTTATTCAGGAAGAAGAGAGTTCGACAAAAGAGAAATCCAGGATGTTGGAATGCATTGAAGCCTTTTTGAGCGGTTGGAATGGAAAAAAGTCCTTCAATAGTTCTGGCAGTGACTTTCTTTCTGGGTCCTTTGTCTCCACCGACAATTATCGAGGAACTCCATATCTGGAGGCCATTATAGACAAGAGAACAAAAGATGGAACTTTACTAATCAAGAAATGGCTTCAAGAGTCTTTACGCCAGGAAAAGATTTCTTTAAATACAAAACTAAGTCCTGTTAATAATGATTTGAAGTTAGAGCTAGGGGTAATGATTAAAGCATTGACTAAAAGCCAATCTTCATTGATGAAAAACAAGGGAATTGTTTATTTAGCAATAGCGGCTTTATATGTTTTGGATGAATTGCATAGTTCCAGATGGAATGCGTTTAACAGTGCTGAGAAGATATTGACAGTAAATGCTGGAGATACAAGCCAGAATCTTGCTGCTCAAATCAGTGATCTTATAAACAAAAGTGCTTTGGTGGGGGTACAAGAGACTACAACAAAGGGGCTGCTCACTCTTCAAGATGCCCTTCTCCTTTCAGTCAATGGGTATATATTAGCTGGTGAGAATTTCCCAACATCTGGCACGAGTGGTCCTTTCTCTTGGCAAGACGAGCATTCCATTAAAGAATCTATTGTTGATGCAATTGTGGAAAACCCAGCAGTGGCTAAACTGAAGTTTCTCCAAGGCATGTCAGAAGAAGTTGATGTGGCCAACTCAAACGATAGAAAACAAGAAGAGAAGGATGAAAGCCCCAATCAAGAGGGGACCATTGATTTTGATGAGTGGGACAATTGGGAGGATGACGATTTAGAAAAAGATAAAGACAAAGCGAATGCGTGTGGTGACATGCAGCGAAAGTTAGAGTTGCGTCATAGAGTGGATAATTTTTTCAATTTTCTTCACAAACTGTGTAAAGTGAGGAGAAATGTGATGTTTAGAGAGTGGTCTAAATACAGTGATGATCCATACTCAAAGAAGGGGATGCTTTATAAAGTCCTGAGCAGGGTACTAGAGAAGCAGGATGTACCTGGTTTAGAGTACCATTCAACAACTGTTGGCCGGCTTTTTAAAAGTGGGCTTGGGAGATTTGGCCTTGGACAGGTATGATCTAGAAATTTTCCAACATAAGGGGTTTGTTTTGAACTTCCACGTATCCCAAATTTAGAAATTCTGCATTTTAATATTGTCAGGCAAAACCAAGTCTTGCTGATCAGAATGTCATCATGGTTTTTGTCATTGGGGGCATCAACGGCGTTGAGGTTTGTTGTCCTTGAAATTTCTCCTTCATTGACTCTCCCTATGCCCCATAAAACAATTAGGTGTTTGACTTAACGGTGTTTAATGAAAGCGTTGAAAAGTGAAAATACTATTGTACATATTCTCCCTAAGTTGGTGTTTTATTTGTTTTAAAAAAAATTGACCCGTTTCTTGTACGTATTTCCAGGTACGCGAGGCGCATGAGGCATTATCTGAAAGCAGCCGACCAGATATAGACTTGGTTCTTGGTGGAACTACTCTTCTAACCCCTAATGACATGTTTGAACTACTTCTTGGGGAGTCTGGCTACTTATAAGCCTCACCTAATTGTGATGAAAGGCTAACAAACAAGACTTTTTCCCAGTTCATCACAAACCAGACATTTGTGCCACGGCTTCGTTTTCAAAAGGCCGTTGTGGGAGGGCATAAAAAAGAATGGATGACAGTTAGTTACTCCCTATGTGATGTGAAGTTGTTTTTATTTTTATTGTTTTACTCTGTAATTATAGAAGATATAAAACTCTATTTTAGAAAAATGTAATTGTAGTTCTATCGAGAATCAGCACGACAGCACTAGTGAAAAATTGGCACAACTCTTAGTAACATACTAGTACTGAATAGGTTAAAAATAGATGAACAAAAAAAGTATAGAGATAAGAGTTAAATATATTTTAGTCCTTGAAAAATATGCCACTTTTGTTTTTTAGTTTTTGTAAGGATTTTTTTGTCAAGTTGTTCTCACAAAATTAATTATTTTGAAAATAGTCATTGAACATGCTTAGCACTTTTAAAATATGTATTTTTATTTTTTTAATATCATATTACCTCGGTTCCTGAGTATTTGTCCACTTTTGACTTTTTTCAGTCAAAATTGGTAAACTTTGACATCAAATTAAATAAAAAACTAATGTTAGATATTGATACAAAAAAAGTTTTATTAGATTTATTATATCAAATATTTTCAAGATATTATTTTATCTAATTAATATACAATATACTCGTTATATTTTATTTAATTATAGGTCAAATGTTGAAAATAGTTGACCAAAAAAAGTCAAAACTAGACAAATATTCAGGGACGGAGGGAGTACTATTTTTCATATAATATAATTTAAAATTAATTTCAATCAAATATCGCGTGATAGAAAGATAATATTTGAACGGAAGATTACTAAATGTTCAAATTTCAAGAAGTGAAAAGTTTAAGTAATGTTAGTGGAACGATAGTACCCGATTTGTACACTAGAAGTCTCCACACCACACAATTCTTATTCAGTCAAACATGTGGTGAAGATCCTATAAGAGAGTAAAATGAAGTTCAATTATATCTTCGTGTATTCTGCTTGGAACAAGCAAACTTTTAGGGGTGAGCATCACGTCGGTTCGGTCGGTTTCAGCCTAAAACCGAATTAATCAAACTTTTTTTGGGTATAATAAAACCGACCGAAAGGGAACCGATGTATTTGGATAACCCAGAAAACCAAAACCCATTAATGGTCGCCCGTGCAAACTTTCACAAGAGAGTGTTGACTTCAAATCAAAATACAAAAATTAGAGCGCACGAGCACACTCCTTTTCCACGTTAATGGCTACACTCCCACCAGCTTCTTGGCCTTGAAGAGTTCGTTTATCTGTTTGGGATCTTCAATGGAAGCTCGGGACGAGCACTACCAGAAGGAAGAGAGGGCTGTTCTCGTCACGATCCTAGTCCTCGCATCACTTGCCATTTCCTCTTGCCTCGCCGCTTTCAGCTACTACTGTTATCTCCGCACCAAACTCCCCGCCACTCGCCCCAAGAACATCAAGTGTAAAGCCCCTTCACTGTCCTCACAATTGCTTTTACATTCTAAGAATTCGTCTAGGGTTCTGTTTTTTTTCCATCAAATTTGCTCCTCACCCAGATGCAGAAAAATTGTGCAATTTCCTTTTATGTATCTAAAAATGTGTTCTTTGAAATTTCGGATTCGAATAATGAAGATGTGAGATTCTTGTCTCAATTTGTTCTGTAATTTGATTGTTGACCTGTTCTTCTTCTCTGTGCTTCTTCGAGTTCAGTCAAGGAGAGTGATTGTGAAGAGAAAGAAAGCGGCATTTCCGATATTAATGTTACTGTTGAGAAGGGAGTTCAAGTTTTCACCTTGAAACAGTTGCAATCGGCAACTGGGGGGTTTTGCAGGGCTAATGTGATTGGGTATGGCGCGTTTGGGACGGTGTTCAAGGGTGTGCTCCAAGATGGGAAGAGGGTTGCAGTTAAGATGATGGATGAGTCTGGAAAGCAAGGGGAGGAGGAGTTTGAAGTGGAGGTTAGAATTAATTAAGATATCAATGGATTTCTTTCCTCTTTCTACATTTCGGCTTTTACTGTACTGTTATTTGAACTGATAACCAGGTGGACTTACTGAGTCGGTTGCGTTCGCCTTATCTGTTGTCGCTCATTGGCTATTGCTCGGAAGGCAATCACAAGGTGCTCGTTTATGAGTTCATGGTAAACGGTGGCTTACACGAACACTTGTATTCCTTCGGCGGTAAGTGTGTTTTGTTTAATAGTTTTGTAGCTTCTGGTTGGTATTCTGCTCATTATCAGCTGTATTAACATAATAAGCTTAATTATAAGCAGCTTTGAGTCACCTAAATATATCTCATATTTTGGTTTAGGTTCCACTAGTGCACGCCGGAATTTGGACTGGGAGATGCGGTTGAAGATAGCATTGGACGCAGCCAAAGGTTTGGAATATCTCCATGAAGATGTTAACCCTCCTGTTATACACAGAGATTTTAAAACCAGCAACATCCTCTTGGACGAGAACTTCCATGCCAAAGTTTCTGACTTTGGCCTCGCCAAGCTTGGAACTGATAAAGCTGGTGGGCATGTTTCCACTCGCGTGTTGGGCACCCAAGGCTATGTTGCTCCAGAGTGAGTCTTTCTTCTTGTTTCTTTGTTTGTTTTACATTAAAAAAGTGGCTTATTTATTTTCTAAAATCTCTGATTTGCATGGTTTTCCATTTCTTCTGGGTGCAGATATGCATTAACTGGTCACCTGACCACAAAATCAGACGTGTACAGTTATGGAGTTGTCCTGCTGGAGTTATTGACTGGTAGGGTTCCGGTTGACATGAAGCGACCTCCAGGGGAAGGTGTTCTTGTATCCTGGGTAGGTACCTCATCTGGTTTTTCTAGCCATGTAAAAAAAAAGTTGCCCCTAAATTGTCCCACGAAACAGGCCAGAAACTTCTCTATCCCTTCGTTTTTAGGTTAATGTCTTTAATAACACTAATGGTCCGTGTAGGCACTGCCCCGTGTGACGGATAGAGAAAAGGTGGTAGAGATTATGGACCCAACAATGGAGGGGCAGTACTCAATGAAAGAAGCTATTCAGGTTGCTGCCATTGCTTCAATGTGTGTGCAACCAGAAGCCGACTATCGCCCCCTTATGGCTGATGTTGTGCAGTCTCTGGCTCCCCTGGTTAAACACAAGCGGCCCACTCCCAAGCACGGCATCTAGCTCTTCCATCTCTCACTTGTGTAAGAATTGATTTTAGTTCTCCATCAAGGGGAGGAGTTGTCTCTCCTCATCTTACTTGGGTTCCACATTGTTTGCAAGATATAATATAATGTTGGATATTAAATAAGAGTAGTGCTGGGTATCTGTGTTCATTGTGATGTAAACTGCTAAAGAACTTAGCTGAAGGGTGTGAAATTAAAGGTTGAATATGTATAAAGCTTGAGAAATCAGAACTTGTCAAATTTAGATTTAGAAGGGCTGCATTTCAACTCAAAAAATAGCTTATACCCTCATAACCTCATCAATGTACACCAAAGAATTCATAGACACACAGAGATACTCAATGTCTGTACATGCACAAATATTGAGTGTATGTGAATCTTTTGGTGTATAAATAGGAAATAGGATATACTACCTCCGTCCCAGTGTATTTGTCCAGTTTGACTTTTTCGAGTCAATCTGGAAAAACTTTGAACTTCAATTACTCTCGATTTATATTACATATAAGCACAATGAAATAAGATTTTGAAATTTCTCAATACGATAAATCTAATAAAGTCTTTTTTTATGTTAAAATACATTACAGTTTTTCTTTAATTGAAGCTCAGAGTTTGGACAAATACACTGAAGACGGAGGGAGTACTACTTTGGGTACCCTTAACATTCTCCTTTTCTTTTTATAGAAAGAAAGTAAATGAGAAATTTATTTTGGGACGGGTAAAAGCAATGTTATATTTATTTGCGAGACGGAGGGCATACAAATTAGAACCAAGCATAAGCAAGTTGGGTGGCAATATTTGCCTCGACTAAAATTAAATGTTATCACTATATAGTCTGGGGATATAGTAGGTAAAATCAAAAGAAAGAAAGCCGAAGGAGGAAGAGAATGAAGCAAATTGTTTCATTTTAGAATCGGCTAGGTTTCGTTGACATCGGCTAAATTGATACTACGGTGCCTTTGGGATTGTAAGACAATTACGGTGCTTCAATTGTAAACATGATGATTTCTATCTTCAGTAAATACATTACTCCGGTCTGGCCCGAACTGACCCCTAACCCCTTAATTTCATGCTTAATTTTTTTTTTTTGACTTTAATGTCAAGAAAATTAGACTCCAAATCCAACAAAATTTTGGGGAGAACTTGAAGGTGTTAAGAGGTGGCTTCGGGTTGAGTTAGGGTAAAGAGGTTTAATATAATGAGGGAATTTGAAAGAGTAGGAACTACTCCCTCTGTCCGAGAATAAATTTCCCACTCTAACTGTTTTTTCGTCCGAAAATAATCTCCCCATTCTACCTTTTTATTTCAATTTTTCCAAAAATACCCCTTCCTAAAATACCCCACCCTTTCCTTTTTCTTTTCTCCTTGTCTCCCGTACTTCTCCATTTCCCCAATTCCCCCCTCTCCTCATTTTCTTCTTCTTTTTTCTCGTCTCTGTCTTCCACCGTCCATCTCCTCCTCTCCTCTTTCTCCCCTTCATCTTTGGTCTTCTTTATCTCCTCCTCTTGTTTCTCTTCCATTTTTCTTCTAGATCTGAGCATGGCGGTGATGGTAGCGGCGGCGATATTGGTGGCGGTGAGGATAGTGTATCAAAATATTCGGAGTTTCAAATTTTGTTTATTTCTTTTTTTTACAGGGAAGCGCTACTGTATGGATTAACCACAACGACACCACTGCATTGGGGGGGGAGAGGAAATTGGTTTGGTTTACCTTAGCCTTATGAATGGCATTTTTGAAGACAATGCAAACTTTTTCAAGGAAAGATTAGCTGATTTAGCCCAGAAAATATTCTTATACTGGTAGTAATTATGAGGCATGATAACTAATCAATCAGAGGACAAAAATAGATGTGTGTGTTGTCAACGAATGCAGTAGCCAAATAAAACAAAATATAGGGTGTAGTTGAAACAGAGCTATATTTTTATAGAAAAATATCTTTAACCATGATGCAAAAGTTTGACCTAAAGAGAAATATATTTTTAAAGGGAAGAATAACAAAGCTATTTGTACTAAGTAGTCACATTTTTTGTACAAATA